AGCCTGCGGAAACAGCCGTTTCCCCTCGCTCCTCACCGCTGGGGATGTTTTGCAAGGAAGAATGTCTGCGACTCAGTGACAGAAATTTCATACTGATGTCGTAAAGTCTGTCTGGAATCTGCTTAGAAGTACTGATTGGTCGACAGAGTAGTTACATTGTTTTAGCTATTGTTTACGAGTTACAGACAAAAGGCAAAAAAGGCCACAAAGGTCAAATGTAAATGCGAAACACAACACTTTATCAAAATCGACCTTGAAAAATGTAAAATTGAACAAATTTTCAGCCCCATGACTTCCAGTTTTAATCATGTGAACATTGATTTATATCATCAGTATGGAATTTCTGCCATTGAGATGCAGACGTTCCTCTCGGTGAAATGTCCCCAGCAGTAAAAAGCAAGGAGAAAGGGCTGTTTTCGCAGGCTATGTAAGGGGCCAGGGGTCACTGACTCCTGCTAAATCACAGCCCTCGCATACAAGTGGTCAAATCAACAGCTGTAAGATTCAGAATTGATAGTAATATAGCCTGCTCAAGGCTCCAAGCTAGTTAGCCCTTTAAGCCCCAATATCCACATACAAATTCTCCAAACTGATCTCCATACATTTCTTTTAAGAATTAGTCAAGAGAATTTGATAAAAGATCCAAGTATTTTCTCTTAGGTGATCATTTTATTAATTCTCATAACCTCATCTCATGATAATGTATCGATATCGTTAGGAGAAAATTGCGGTTGGTCACTATTTATTTTCAAAAATGCACAGGACCCTGGGAGAGAGAGAAGCTCTCTTTTTTTTTCATGCAACCACCCCGTTTTCCCAGGTCTGGCAAATCTTATTTCACTTTGACCTTGCTTTTTGCAACATCCTTACTAAACCTGAGAGCATGGAACAAGCTAAGAGAAATATTAAGAAGTTGATCAACAATGGCAAAACATCTTGACTTGCCAAAAAAAATTTCAAGACCCTGTTTTTTGTGTTTTTCTTTTGCCCTCAGTTCTTCCCTGTTTGAACTTTGCTGCTTTTCCATCATCATCAACGCCATGTCCTTGTGTGATCATCCTGAGCTTCCTTAACCCTTTAAGCCCCAATATCCACATACAAATTCTCCAAACTAATCTCTATACATTTCTTTCAAGAATAAGTTGAAAGAATTTGATAAAAGATCAAGGAATTTTCCCTTAAGTGATCATTTTATTAATTCTCATAACCTAATCGCTTGACATTGTATGGATATCATTAAGAGAAAATTGGCGTTAGTCACTATTGGGACTGAAAGGGTCACAACTTCACCAGTAATATATATTTTTGGTCAGATTTAAAGTGTTGTGTCTCCTGATTTGCAAGGGTACACCTGCTAAGAACTGTATATATATATAATTTTTCTTTGGCATGCAGAGGGTTGCTTAGAGAGGTGAAGTGTAAATTTATAATATGCTCTGAATAAACATTTGGAGCTTTTGAAAAGTGCACAGTAGCCTCTAATTTTTTCGGTCTCAATTTCAATATAATTCAATTTCCAATGTGGAAAAATTAATAAAATGATGATCATGAACTTTGATTTTTTTTAAAAAAAAACTGTTATGCCTTGAAAGGATGTACCAGGTACTGAAGCTGACTGAAAAATGAAAGTTAAAAAATGAAAAGGGAAAAGTTAAAGGCAACAAGATTAATTATTAGAGTATGCATTTTAAATCATGCAATTTCTCCTTTCTATTGTAAACTTGGTATAAAAATTTAAAAGCAATTAAAGAAATGAAAATTACTGTCTTGAACAAAGGATATTGTTTACGCTTCAGATGATGTTGCTAGGGAATATGGCTGCCATAAATTCATAGAATTTTTTTTACTGTAATCAGTTCTTGGTAGTGCTCAAAATTCTTTCTAGAAACATCCAATTGCATTAAAATTTGTAAAAATTTTGAAAAACTAATTTAATCATGCAAAAATTATGGAGGAGTCAGGAGTGGCAGGCTTAATGTGAAAGTCATATTGTGATCATGTTTCTAATTTTATTAATCATTGCGAGACTGAAAGAGTTGAGTTTTAATGTCTAGCCTTGCTGTACTTGTCACAGTCGTGTTAATGGAACAATGCACAACATTTTTATTTTGAGCAACAGTTTCTTTTGTTTGATTGCACCTGACGCTTTTTTATTTGGTTTATATTACTGTTTGTTATTGTATCTTAGCAACTAGCATATTATTGTCTAGTATTAGTCCTTTTCTTTCGACTTATTTGTCCAGTACATTTTTTTCTGACAGTTCAATTATTTATCCAGAAAAATTAGCGTACTTCAAACTTAAAAATGTTGCAATTTAGGTCCAATCAAAAATGCATTTTATACATGAGCCTGTAAATTATTAGTATTATTTTTTTGCACACATGGATTGGTTCTTGTAATTCTTGCACTTTTGTGAGGAAGTGCAGGTTTTGAAGATTGAAAGTTGTACTGTCAAATCTGTGAGCCAGCTTGAATTACAGCAACCATCTTGTTAGAGTTAATTCTGTTTACTCAACATCCAGGACAAATGTTTTAGTTAAATGTTTTATGATGCATGTTTAAAATCTGAGCTTCACCCCACATTTCAGGCTGGTAATGAATAGTAGGCGGCGTTGGAACTAGCACCAAAGGCACAAGTTTCCTAGGGCCGAGGCATTTGGGGACATTTTGAAATATTTAGAGTCTCAGAAATGCCGTTTCCATGGGTTTTCAAGAGGTATTTCAACCGCGTTGTTATGTTGCATCGAGAATACACCCAAGACAGGGAACAATGTCGTCAAAATGTCCCAGGCGTTCCACATTAACAGCGCACGGTTCGAACGTTTCACAGATCTAAACCTGTCAAATATACCTTCAATGTGATTCAAAACTGGCAAACAGATGCTTTACGATTTTATTTGATAGTGCTTATTTCTTGTTAGCAGTTATGGTAGGAGATGAAAGTAGCCAGGTAAGGGTGGCTAACTAGCCGGCGGTTTTTGCCCGCTACCGGCCCTTATTGACAGCCCTGATTATTATTTTGTGTGTGTGTTTGAGTTGAGTTTCTAGAATTATGGTTTTAACTAAGACCACTTTATTTACTTAACTGTGCAAATTATCAACAGTCGGTGTCTCCAAAAACAAAGCAGTCAATTCTGCTTTTCCTGTGGATCTTGGTTCATTTAATAAAGGTTCATAATTTCTTGGCAATATTAAATTCAGTAACAGTAAGTCAAAAAGGGAGTTTGAGAAAAATATGAATTAAGAAACTTAATTTCACTGAAAAGTTCTTGGCAGTTAATTATGTTCACTGCAGCCCCGAGGCCACATCCTGTATTTTCTGGTTAACAATACCCACATAAAGCAAGATTTTTCTAGAACATTTTTTTGTTGTAAAATGTTTTATGTTTGATAATTCAAATGTTGGAGCAGCACAAGCTGGTCATAAGTGTCAGGGAGGAAAGCAGTGATAATAATAGCGTCAATGGATAAGAGTTATCTGTGACTAAAACGCTGTAGATGCAAAAGAATGGAAGAAAAAATGAAAAACGATGAATCATTCTGAAATGGAGAGGAAAACAGTAAGGGTACTTAATTCTAACTGTGAAATAAGAATATTAACCCATTCAAATTGACCTTTAATACCACACTGTAATCTGAAAAGTAACTGCAAGTTTTGTGAAAGCTATGATAAACAGACTTTATGACAGAGCACTGTGCAAGATGCAAACTTGCTCAAAAAGTCGGCCTTTATGCGTGGCACTCAAAGACATGCAAATGCTATTACTGTTGATTCTTATTGCATGACTAAATGCTTACTTTGACAGGATGGACAATATTAATAGCTCTCTGATGGCATCTTGCTGTGAAATGAATTAGTTGACCTCAGTTCAAAATGGATGCAGTCTTGAATAACTGTTTAATTTGTTTTGCACAAAAATTTATCATGTTTCCAGGATATTCAGAAACAATGGACTAGACTCCACAATAAGATTTTTGCTTTGCATTCTCCAGTGAAATTCTATCTTGTTAACAAACAAGATCAACTGGACTTAAAATAGCGGATAAGGGGTATTAATTACAAAAATAGCTAATTTGCCTAATCGTATTTCCATATGTCTTAAGTGCTTAGCTTTTGATTCCAGAGGGTAGTTTTTGTATACTAAACAAAAGCAGCCTCTAAGGTTTAAGCACAGTGACAGGATTTATTGTATCACCTTAAGATTAAATAACTTCTCCACTGTTGTCCTGTCACTTACAGAGTGTAGATCTTACTTCAAAATGCAGTCTGCAATTTCGCTGTTTATTGTCACTTTGTTGCTTTTTTTATCATCTGCATGCTTGCAGGAAAATGAAGTCTTTTACTTTTAGTCATGGATGAAGCCAAAATTGAAAAAAAAAATTTCAAATTTTATACTGTAAATGCTGAAAAACATGATTCTTTTTTTAATTCACTCGTTTAAAGTGCCTTTTGGTCAAATAGTGTGCTCATTCCATTGGGTTGTTAGGCATTAGGAAAGTTTTGTTCCGCAAAAATCTTGACTTGAAACTTAATACTATTTTCTTGTTGTTTTTCTGCTTTAAATGTCAATTATCAAATGTAACTTGATTCAGGGAAAATTACCTTTGCATGGTTTATTTGAAATAAATATAAACATTATTTCAGCTGAGAAGGGGAAAGAAAGAACTTCTCATGACTTTTGCAGCAAGGTAAAATGATGTTAATACTGCTTGCAAAAACAGATGTTAAAACGATTGTGCAGGAGATGAGGTCATAGTGCAGTTGTGTTGACCTAGATTGCCTCATTCATTCCTTATGATGTTTCTTGTATAGAACCACACGTCACGTAAGTCATTAGTTGATATCAGGGAATGTATGCTGTGCTTTTTCAACTCACAACAACCTGACAGTATTTGCATCAAGTCAAGTTGTTGCCAGCCAGGGTAAGGGGTGGTAGATTGTGGTGAATACCATTGGACCTCTTCAAATGGCTGCTCGTCTACAACAGAGCTGTCACCAATGGCCAGAGGCTCGGAATTTCTCCTGGCTTCTATGAGCATGCTTCTCTTGTGGGAAACAAAAGTAATAGAACTAAGGAAAGAATTCCAGGTTGTAGTTTTCAGGTTAGATTTTGATTTGTTACACGAGGTCATGTCATGACCGGAAGTGTGACGCTCAAGAACTAGAAGTGAGTTGAAAAAGTACTTTCAGGCCTCTTGAGTCCCAGAACTGGTTCCAAGGCCTCTTTTGAGCCCCTGCATTAGTTCCCAGGTCTCTACCAGTCCCAGAACTGGTTCCCAGGCCTCTTTCAAGTCCCGGAACTGGTTCCAAGGTCTCTTTCGAGCCCCTGGTATGAAAGAAAACGACTTACATTAAAGTTTGGGCACCACACACAAAAGACGGTGGTCCACTTGGCATTAGAGACATTCCAATGATGTCATCATTTGGAATTAATTGATGAGTTATGTAAAAGGGTGTCACAAAAACACAAACATGCCGCACAGCAACTGGAGACATTTGACTGCAGTAGTTGAAAATCATGATGAAACAAGCTTAGCTTATCTCTGTACTGCCAGATTTCTCCAATAAAACCACTGCTTCATTTTGATCCCAATGTAAGAATTAAGTGACGATGAACTGGATATACATGTATATTTGTTTGTTATAGCTGTGTTTTATCTGGTTCTGGTAATTGAAACAAAGAATTTCCTTTTTTATACCAGGATTTCATCATAAATTTTTTTGTATTGAACTTTCACTGCATTAAGGTAATTAAAGGTACAATGAGTTAAATGAATGAAAGAGGCAATGGCACAAAGATCAATAAAATGTGAACACTTACCAGTCCAGAATTTTAGTTGCTAAGAAACGTAATTTTGGCTTGTATGTATTGTAAAAACCGAAAAATTCACTGCCTTAGCATTTATCAGCATATAGTTTTTGCAATATTGAAGGATATCTGTAGCTTTGGCAGTTTTCTCCTGGAAAGTGAGCATTTTTTTGGCTTGAAAAGCTTACACTTGTCAAAAAAATTGACATATGTAACAAGAAATACTGTGACCTGAGGCATGTCCACTAGGTTCATTGATTGTCAAGGTTAAATTTTAAGATCTGTTTTTTGGTTATGCAAATTTTTTAGTGGCTAAAATGTTTTAGCTTTACTACACTGACATAATAGTCATTTTTTCACAGAAAGTTGCCCTTTTTACTGCAACACAATATATTATTTTTTTAATAAAAATGACATGTACCTTGAAAGATCATTAAAAATTTTTTCTTTGCCAAAGATCTAGAAATATCTGCAATGACTAAACCCTCAAAAATGTGTTTATTATTTATGATGTATCAGAAATATTTTCAGCATAGTTCTCATCCTTTTTGTTTTATTTCTTGTATAGTTAATTTCTATACATGATATCCGTTGAAGGTGAATGGAAACTTGGCCTGTTGTTCTGGCTTATGATTTGAAAGATTTCTTGCAATTGAATACTTTACATGAAGTTACCCCTAGTGTGTAATATTACTGTTGTGTGCGGGTTGAGACAAATGATTGGAGACTTGCTGAGACACTGGGATGCTTATGTGGAAACCTGAGACTTTCAGCAGAAGGTTAAAGACTCTAGAAACTCAAAAGATTCTTCAAAATCTCTCTGTAAATCAGATGAAAATTTGTTGCAACCAAGATGTTATAGGTGCTATCCACCTACTTGGGGTCGTGTAAATGATACATGTGGAGTCATCTACATCTCTCTGTGTTGCTAATAAACGATGTAGATTGTGTGTAACAAGTCTTAGTTCAGCAATCCTGGGCAATTTTACAAGCACCAAACAGCTGTGCTTAAAGGGCAACATATTTCTTGATCTTTAATAATTAGTATCTTGTTTTTTCTTTGCAGATTAACAATGCCGCCTATACGAAAGCCAGACCTGGATAAACTAAAGCTACATCCAAAGCCATATCTGAGTAGATCAGTTGGTGCTTCAGGCTTTAAAAACTCACTTGACAAGGGCGCAAAATTCAGTTTAAGTTCTAGTTGTTTTGGTGCCATTACAACAGAGAAAGGAGAGCCTGATGATGACTTGACCAGCCTCAACTGGTTACAGAGCAATGATATTTTGAAAGACTTTGATGTGTCTGCAACTGTACCTCCTGTTTCCCCTACAGCGGACATAAATGGGGACATTTTTGAGACCCCTCCCAGAGGGGCACAGTCCAAAGGACCCTTCTCCCTGGACTCGTTAGCTAACAAACGCAAGAGTCCATCAAAGCCTCCATATTCTTTTTCATCGCTCATTTTTATGGCTATTGAGGAGGCTCCTATGAAGAAATTGCCTGTTAAAGACATTTACAACTGGATAATGGAACATTTTCCATATTTCCGTGATGCAAGACTTGGTTGGAAAAACTCTGTTCGACACAACCTTTCCCTCAACAAATGTTTTAAGAAAGTAGACAAGGATAAAGGACAGGTGAGGAAGGACATTTTATTTACATCTTTGATCTTCTTAAATATGAACTGGAATAATGCCAGCAGTAAGTAAAGGATTTCATCTGCAGAATCAAAAGGTAGTTTTCAGAAGCTGGGGGTTCTTAAAGATTTCATCTACAGAATGAACCTTAGTACCACCCCGTACAGCACAATAAACAGTACCACAGGAAAGTACTGCTCAGTAGCTTTCATTTGAATGGTCACACCATAGGATTTCATCCACAGACTCAAAAGTTGGAACCACCTTCTACAGCACAATAAACAGGACCATAGGGAAGTACATCTCAGTAGCTTTTGCTCTCTATCAGATGGCTTTGAAGTGGTTAACATATATTTAGACTGAGAGATAATTATTATTATTTTAACCACATTGTCTTGACAGTGTGACAATAATGCTTCAATGAATCTTTGCCCATGAAGTCTCAAGTCAAGCTTGAGTTATTCTAACCCACCAGTAGTTTTTTCCACAGAATGTTGGCAAAGGATCTTTGTGGACAGTAGATCCTGAATACAGGCCCAACTTGCTCCAAGCACTGAAAAAGACGCCTGCTTTTCACCCGTATCATAACGTGTTAACGACGCCACCACCATCACCAAAAAATCATTCCTCAGACAGGTAGAGTTGATAAAAGCATAAATAAATCTCCCTCTTTACCCCTCATTAGTGTGTGTAGCATGAAGGTTAATGGGGCCGAAAAAAGCAATGAAACAAAGAATGTAATGCATCATAACCAGGGTAAAAATCTCAACTGTCACCAGCAGGCAAACCAGTTGGCTATTTTATTCAAGCATGACTTAGGACTTGAACTTGGCTCTAACCACTCAGCCATGACCCTGCCACCCCAGTCATCCTGTTGGAATAGAAATGTAACGGACATTCTCATCATTTTCATCGTGCATGTGCTGTATTAAGTTTAAAGCATTGAAAACTTGACTCTATAACCTCAAGAATGGATCAATAACCCATAAAAACTAATCCTTACAAAGTCTTAAAATTGAAATTTATTTTAGTGTTATTCTTGAACATTGAGAAACTAATTTTTTTTCTCTTCTCTCTTCAGCAGTACCCTAGGAAACAGCATTGGTAAGAAACATGATTTAATATCTTTAATTTTTACTCTAATTAAACTCTAAGAGTCAATCCAACTGAAGTATGGAGGGTAGGTGCTGTATGGGTGGCAAGTGAAGAAGGGTAGCAGTCTAAGCAGTTAAGAGGTCTCCCTCACAACCTGGCCACAGACCATCTGCTGGCACCTTTCAACACAACACTAATCATTGGATTATTACCACAATTGTAGGGAAAATTGAAGTTGATCCCGATGCAGAAGCAGAAGCAGTTGCAACAATTTGTATGATAAGCACACCCCCAGAATTGCGTGTTGCTGAAAGTAAGTGGTTTTTGTCAGTGGATTTCTCTTTCTATTCTTTAACCCTTTAAGTCCCAATAGTGATCAACATCAATTTTCTCCTAACAATATCCATAGATTGTCAAGTCCAACATCTATGAGAATTAATCAAATGATCACAAAGAGAAAAATCTTTGATCTTTTATCAATTTCTCCCAACTAATTCTGTAAGGAGATGTATAGAGATCAGTTTGGAGAATTTGTTTGTGGATATTGGGGCTTAAAGGGTTAACACCTTTAAAATAGTCCTAACACCTTTTGATATTTATTTACAGTGGTTCGTTGCCAGTCCTGTCCTCCTTCTGAAACTGATAAAGAAGATCAGTTGTTAAAGAGAGCCAAGGAGTTTTACTACAGACACAGGGGCTCCTTTTCTGGAGCTGTCTCCATGGCAAAAGACAAGTTACCCTCTTCCCTGCTGACAGATTCCCATGGAAGGTAAGAGTAGAGAAGGCCTAGCATGTGTCAGGCTCTCAAATGGTAGGGACGCTTCAAAAACAATTTAATGGTTAAATAGGATGCCCCTGATCTGGGAAAGAGTGTGGCGGCCAGAAAAGAGTATTTACTGTCTGTGCACATTACTGATGTGTGGCATGGAAGAAGTTAATGAAGGTCTTGCTACTTTATCTGAGTTTAAAGACAGTCTGAGGTTGTCAACCCTTCTTGCTCCTAATAGTGGCCTATGAAAACATTCACACAAAAAAGTCAAATTTGTTTTTGTAAAATACCAAGAAATAAATATTACCATGCAAAAGTTCTGCTAAAAAGGTTTTATTTGAATGGTAACAGCATAGGATTCCATCCACAGATAAAAAAGTTAGAAGGACACAAACCAGTCGTAATGTGGCTGTGAGAGGTTTGAAGGAGTTCTGCGAAAACATCATTTACAACACTTTCATTTTAGTTAGCTACAAATAAGATCATAATTATTTACCCCCAGCAGATGGGTGTTACGATACAAACATTCACTACACTAGTACAATACAGATACAATAACTGGCTTCTCTAACTCGCTTTACAGGAACAAGAAAGCAATGTTATCTTCATCTCTAAGTAGAATTGATTCTGTGAGAATGCGAAAGGATATCTCCCCAGACTCCTCACTTGATGGCGAGTTTGAATTTGATCATGGTGGTGATTCTGATGAAGAAGACAGTGAAATTGATGAGACAATGGAGAAAGTTGTCAAGGATGAATTGAGTGACAGTGGTTATGGCCAAGGTCTTGAAGACCAAAATGAACAGAAAAAGGTTTCAAGCAAGGACAAACCTCAACCCCGTCATAGACGGGGGCGTAATAACAGTACAACAGAGAAAATGAACGCTATCGCAGGTGCTGACGCATTATTAGAACTTGCTAACTCAGCAGTCATGCCATTACAAAGCTCCAATTCTGCTTCTTCAAGTCCTGTTCCACTGGTTAGCTAGCACTCATTAAGAAGTCATCTTGTCCAAAACATGTCAGCTGGCCTTCTTCCTGTGCCGAAATGGTTTGTTCCATCTTGCTGATAGGCGAAAATCTGTTTTGTGTTGTGAAAGGTGAATCAGCAAAGTTATTGTCATGGTACTGGTGGTAGTTAATATGGGTCTTGATAATATGCATTTTTCAGTTCTTGTTCAAAAATTCATTTCTTTAAAAAATTCAGGTTGAACTATTTAGTGATTTCTTCCAGCGCCTAAAACATTCTACAGAAAATGGGCAGCTGCCCTAAATTAGGCTTTTCCTTGACTATTAGATGGAGACGCCTAGTCCCTACACCCCTCGTCACTACACAAACATCTGAGCTTGACTTGCTTTTTGTTATAATGAGTATGGTTGCAAATAGGATTTTTTTCTTGGTTATTTCGCCCTTGGCGTCGTTTTGAATTTTTTGATGCCATGTTTGCTTCTTACCTTGTTACCATGACAACCTGGAAATACGGTGCATTGCTTTTTAGTTCTGCTGACGAGTAAAATTCGCTCTTAATTCGTTATCATCAATAAGAACTAAAGAAAGCGATACATGTTACTCTTAATGAAAGCTACGACATTTGCGTTAGAGAGGAAATCCGAAATCAGGACACACGGTATGGTACAACCATCAGGGAACTTTATATTTGGAGAGTATGTTTTGGCTAGAAAAAATCAGTGCTTTTAATTTAAAAATTTAAATGCACCTTGCCGCAATATACTAATCAATTTTTAATGTTGATGAAAGAAAAATCAGGATGCCTGGCGCTATTTGCGGATGAAAAAGCGGTCGTTTTACAATAATTTAAAGCTAAATTAAAATATTTTATAATATTGGAATTAAGGACGGTAAATAAGTTAAAATTAAAGTAATAGATGTCTCAGGAGCTAGGGTATTCTTGGGTAGTGCTTTTAAATTTTTTCGTTAGGGTAGGAAATATGTCATAGCTGGGGGGAGATAGCCAAATAATCTAATTTTAAATGATATTCGGGGGCTAAAAAATTTGTTTCCAAATTTATGTTATGGCAAGTAATAATATGAGAAGACAGACGGTGCATCAAGATTAACTATGTTCTCTGCAAAATACCCTCTGAATAGACAGGAGCTTTCTAGAGGCCCTTTTTCTTATTTGAATCGCCACTCGTAAAAGGCAAGGTACAAATTTCTGCTTCAGATTTTCAGCGTAGTATTTTTTTTCTTGATGGTTAGTAGGAATAACTCGCTTTAAAATGGCTCTTTTTTCTCAACCAATCAGGAGGCCGTTAACAATCGTAACGTGGTCGCAGAATTTTTCCCGCCTCTATTGTCGGCCGCACGTATTTGCTTCGAGCTCAGATTGGTCCATTCAAAATTACGCGCTGTCGTGATTGGTTGAAAGTAATCTGATCTCGCTTGTCAAAATCCTTTTCAATACAAACTGATATTTTTGTAGTTCAAGAATTTTTCCCTCATCTTCTTTTCCTCACCCTGTTCATCTTTCCCCTGTCTTGCTCGCCTACTGCGATACAGGTATGTGATCGATCCTTCTTACGAGCGTAATTCACTTGTTAACAACAGTGTACACGTCTACAACGCCCCAACGCATTACGTCACATCAACTACAATCGTGCAGGGTTTCTTTCACAGATGCTCAATGTCGTGAGTGGATGCATATATTTTTTTAGACCTTGTCAAATTATCATTAAAAACACACAGTTATTTTTTTAGTTAATGAATTTATACTAAAAAGCCCCCCACCCCCCCACCCCCCCCCTTCCGTACTGGCAAGGGAACATAGTTGCAGCGCAAAGCGGTGACTGTTTTCTCAGATTAGATATAAAAGAGAAATTTATAAGGGCTACTGAAATATATATGAATTTTCTTTCTCATAACAACAATAATGTCAGTTTTGTAATTTGGATATCGAAGACAAACCGGTTCTCTTTACAGGGATTGGGCTGTAAATAATCTTTACCCGGAATATCCTAGTCTTATTTAATGAAAGATATATTGATTCGTGACGGTAGTGTTTTTCAGCTTTTTAAAAAATCTTTTGAAGGTCTGTGTAGGTATTTTGAGGTTTTAGTTTGATCCAGACAACAGTGCAAAGGTTATAACCTTGCGAGAAATTTCACGTGATTTGTGGAATTATGTTTATATAGGAAGAGCTCTGAACACTGTTATCAATAATGTGAAAGTGGAAATTTTGTTTAAACCTAAACTTTTTTTCTATTGCTCAAGTTTTAATCCTCAGTTTTCGTACATTTCTTTCCGTACAATATCCTGTTAAGGCAACGTGAAGCGAGTTCTTTTGCTGGAGTTGTGACATCCACAGCCTTTTACGCTTGGTATCCGTTATTTTGAGCTCTTTCTTTGACAGCCTTTGTTTCAATGAAAGGACACAAGAGCTAGAAAAATAATTCGAGACAAAAATACTGCATCAAACATCCTAAGGTTTGGGTGGGAAACCGATCATTTTCGGTAGATTTGTAAGTTGTATCTGATTGGTGCAGAATTTCCGAACGGTTCGTTAAATCTTCGTCTTCATTCCGAAAATTAACGACCAATACCACCAGGCCTGCAAAAGGATTCAGTAGGTTTATCCTTGAGCGGTTTCAAGATTAATGTATATTTATGATGCCTAAAGATGTAAAGATGACGACTGTAATTCTCGGGCTTTAAATTCTCGGCCGCTCATTCACTTAATTAATTCTTAGTTGGAGAATTATTTTTGGAGTCTATTTTGGTAATTTCATCAGAAAATCTTTTAGAACCGTATAGAAATCAGTCATTTTCTCATACGTAAATGTGAAACACAAAAAAACATAATACAGTAAGTCATTCGTATTTTATATGAGAACAAAAGTTTATTACCACGAATTTAAAATTTTAAATATATGTATTGTTGACGTTGAAGTAGAACAGATGATCCCTTAGCTGATATGCAGCCAAATACAACAGTATCAATCAATGTGAAGTTCATGTTAATTCAAAATGTAAATAAAGGAAAAAAGAAAAAGGAAATTCTACGTGGTGTTGTAATGTCATCTTGGAGAATAGCCCTTGCGCATGTTTAGGTTACAGACAGGCAAATCTCACTACCAAGTATCGTTTTGAAATTGTAAAGTTGTGAAGTTTTTCACAAATGAATTCCCAAGGCAGTACAGTTAAAAAGAATACCCGAGCACATAGAGTGTCAATAAGCCATTCCACGCGTCCCATAATGCACCTTATTTGCCCCCCAAAATTTTGCACAAGCATTGTTTTCAATTTCTCTTAGGATGGATGTAATACCCAGGAGAAATGAAAAACAAAGGTTATGCAAAATCTTGGGGGGCAAATTAGGTGCATTATGGCAAATGTGGAAGTGGCGTTTGCGCGCGACGAATTATGCTTGCAAACGAGGATTGGTGGTGAGATTTTCTCCTCTAAAGGACCTGGCCTGGACTGGGGAATCTGGGAAATTTTTGCTCGTGGAATCCGGAATCCAGAATCCTGGGCTTTGGAATCCGGAGTACAGCTCAAAGAAAAAAATCCCGCTAAAGAGTTGAATGCAGATGCAAGCTCCACTGACAAAGAATCTGGGATCCAGAATCCACAGCGTGAAATCCAAAAACCAAGACTGTCTCGGATTCCTTAACATGGACCGAGACCAGTGGCGGATCCAGGGGGGCCGGCCCCCCCCCCCCCCCCACATTCGTTTGTCGCCCACTACTTGCATACACCAGAGGAAATCCATTCTTACATACACCCCCACCCTCCTGCTCCAACCACAGCGCCGCCCTCTCCCCTGCCCACCATACCGTGGAGCTCAGCCCAGACCGCACTAAGTTGTAAGAAGGGAAGTGCAATGGCAGCGCCCACGAAAAAAAACACGGGTACCCAAAAACCCCACGGAAAATCCAAACAACCAGACGGTCTCGGGTTTCCACAAACGGGGCCGGGCCCGGGGGGGGGCCGCGGGGGGCCCCCCCCCCCCCCCCCCCCATATTTTTTGGCCAAACTGATGCCCGAAGGGCCAAAAAAAATTTTTTTTGAGACCACCCCTCCCCCTATCTCAGAGTCTGGATGACCGCTCCCCTCCTCTGGATCCGCCACTGGAGACTTCAGTAGCCAGAAGAGCTTGTTAAATTTAGTAAACTTTCAAATGTTCTGGGTGGCAAAAGTACTTTTTAATGAGCCAATCGGTTTTTTGTAAAATCTCCAGGTTTTAACATCACATATTTCAAACACATATTTTTTTTGCTGTTGTTATTGTTACATGGGCGACTGCTGTGAAAACATATAAAAACATATAAACCGAAAAATCTTTTTGGAATTTCTAAGAACATGGCAAATATTCTCGGCGAGCCATCGGATGTTCCGAAAATTTTGTTGGGCTTCCAAGCCTCCTGTAAACGTCTTGGTTCCAGACCCCGCGCCAGTTGACCGCCAGTACTTGAAATTCAAAATGGCTGCTACAAACAAACTGGAAGGTGGTGTCGATAAAGTGAGTTAAAATTTTTTTATCCTTTTTAGTTTTATCATAACTTAATACGATGTAAGGATCCCTGTGAATGATGAAAACTCTTAAGGCCGCTATTGCAACCGTTCTCTTGTCTATTAAGTCATTTGAATGCATTGTAATTTGCGTATTACTTGCAATTGATGTTGTAAATGTTACTTCATTGTTCCGAGCTAAAAATGTCTTAAAAATAGCCGAGCTAAAAATATATCATATATATCTTAAGATGTAACGCAAGAAAGATTGTCGAGATTATTGAAGTATATATAGTTTAAAAACCTTCGGACGTCCATGCATGTGAACTCACATTCGCACCGTAGTACGGAGGGGCGGGGGATGGCTGCCCGAGGGGACTCCAATACAAAAGAGACATGGATGCTGTGAGACCAAAAACCGGAATAAAAGGGAGTTTTGAGGACGGAAACCCAACTCTTTACCCAAGAAGTTTCTTCTCTTGTTGTTTCTTTATTAGTCTCGCTGCTTATGCAGGTTTTCAGGAACTGCAAGCCGTTTTATTTTCTTCGTATTTAGTACACAAAACGACGTCTGTGGTCCCAGGCGTTCCTAGCGGCGACCGTGAAAACTGAGAACAAGAATTGTTGCGTGACCGAAGCCACGCATGTTTTGCGAAGAAAGCTTAGGAAAGATAAAATTTTGAGCTTTTCCGGAAGGGGTCGGTCCACGAATTCTATTGCTTGAAAGCGTTGATTACATTGTAACAAGTGAACCCTTCAGTGGTCGATAAAAAAAGAAAAACCTTAATTAGCAAAACTCCGATCGTGAGTGTTGTAAACTTTCATTGTATGCAAATGAGTCTTGCGATGAGCATGCAGTTTATTTTCGGCGATGATTGAAATGACGCGCCATGTTCTCATCACGTTTTTTATCTTTGGCAATGTAATTTCTCTCGAATCGAATTTTAGAGTAATTATACACGCGTATAGCCTGCGCCCGCAGACGTATTTCCAGCTGTCGCTAACACGCGCACTAAATCAATTCAGAAACAATATCGTCGAATACGATATCAAAAGTACCGTCGATAAATTAAAGTAGGAAGTGAAAACCCTTTAGCGAGTAAATCCTGTTTCATGTAGAATTAATCAGCTGCTCATTTCCTGTCGAGTCTCCAAGCAAGCGAGACGAAACGCAGATTTTAAGAGCGTTCTTGTTTGAAATGGCAAGTATAGGGATGAAATAATGTTGGCATGCATGACTTTATTCAAAATGGCGGGAAAAAATGGCAGCCATTCACCATTTTCGCATAGACCATAATTTACCTTGTTTGCCCCCCAAATTTTGCATAACCGTTGTTTCCAATTTCTCCTGGGTATTACAATCTTCCCGACAGAACTCGAAGACAATGGTTATGAAAATTTGGGGGGTTAAATAAGCTGCATTATGGTCTTCGTGAAAATGGTGTATCGCAGAAAATAAGTATCATCAAGAGTTTTCAGATCAGTGATAAGATGGGGAAATTATGTTCACTTGTGAAATATGGCAGAATATAATGGCCTTCCTTTTAAACGCATTTTGTGCATTTTTGCAATACCAAAAAGACAGAACTTTTTGCTTACAGTCAAACCAGGTCAAGTACACTGGTAGGTCGGCACTCACAAAACGCAGGTCACAGGTCACAGGTCACCAATCACAAGTGCAAGTTCAGAGCACAGGTCACCATGCCATGGTAAATACACAACACTTTAAAGTGTCTCCTAGCCCTAATCACAATCCGCAACAGAGTTTCGGCTTAAGAATGAACCAACTACTTATCTCAGATAGTTACCAATAGAGCAGTAAACTGCACTTGTGACCTGAGGCCTGTGTTCTGAACCTGCCACTCGTCGATTATGTTGTAAGGATTATTTGAAAATTGAATCCGTCAGTCGTTATTGCCGGCACCGCCACTACAATCATTTCTGCATTACCGAATGCTTAATCAGTATTCTCTTCAGAATTCCGAGCAAGATTGAACTATCACTCGCGCGCGCTTTCTAAGTTCAAGACAACTGAGCAGGCAGAAAGTTCTTAATTTTAAAAGCAGTGAAAAAGGAAATAACTAAAGGCTTGCTAAGACCGGTTGACCTCATTATGCGGCTTAGGTGGTCGTATTTTAAAAACACGTTGTCAAAAAAAAATAGAGATTAATGTTTGTATAAGAACTCTTTTAAATGTTTCATTATCGATAAACTTTCTGAAGAATTATTTACCGTCTTTGTTTAAGGAAATCTCCATGGTTGGTAACTCGTGATTGTCCTTTAGAGAAATTGAATAAAACTTATCTCTGAGAACACCGACTAAAATGAAAATCGAATTTCTGGGTTTTGATTTAGTAATCACAAAACTACCACAAAACGTAATTCATTGCCAAAACCTGTAACCCCACAATCATTTATAACTTAGACGAAATCTATCCAAAAAAAAAACCTCACCCGAATTTTAACGCAAAACTGTAATTTTGTTGAGATATTAAAGACTTTATTTTTTAGCGATGCGTTTACGGTTCTGTATACATAGAAAACACGCCAATATTTTTCCTTCTTTTTATCACATCTCCTGCCAATTCACAAGAAAATAGATCGCAAACAAAAAGCAATAATGCAAAAACCGGAAAGTCGGTGACAAGAAAGGAAAACATGTCTTAGAGTAAATTACAAGATAATTCGAACCGCTATTTTAATCATTTTTCGACGGAACTTCACTGTTCGAGAAAGTGAGAATATAAAATGTTCTTGCTTACTATCTTCATTTGAATAGCTCAGCTCTGAGTAAACAATCATGTATCTTGAATTATTTCTTCACCTTTTAGAGACAGAAAATCAAAACAGTCAATGTAAACACGCACATTGTCTTTTTCGTAGCTTCGTTTCTTCTTTTTTTCTCTTTTTACAGTAACCTCAGTTCAGCTGTTTCTTGGGTCTTGTTGTGAAATACGATTGGATAAAATTGTCTCTTTCCCTTTTCCGGCTGGCAAATTTCGTTGTCTGGCTTTGTCAAATCGTGAAATCGTTCTTCGTTGGTTTTGTTTTCCGATGTCGTCGATTTTCGGCTTCGCTGCTCTTTCATGCGGTATCGCTTCCGACAACGCATCCACAAATAAAAATAACCCAGAAAACAGAAAAATATCCCGGCCGCCACCAGAAAAAATATTATAAATGCCAGAGGAGCCTTGTGGAAGAACATTATGCTTCTTGGAAACTTCAATGTGGACGAGAAGTCGGCAAAAATTAATGAGCGCCACCGAAGATTTTACTTGTTCACTTGCAACTAAGAGCCATGATTTATAAGCCTCTCAGCTTAAGAACGCAGGTGTCGCGGCCAAGCATCTTTCGAAAAATTGTACGTAAAATGTAACAGCGAACATAGGTTAGAACTGAGCTTAACACATTTGCATCAATCGCGTAGAACAATATGTACATCGATCTAAACAACGGAAACTATTCAGCTTTTAAGATACAATGATCTCTGACGTACACCAAGATTTTTTGTTTGGTGCTCGGCTTGTACTGACGTTTCCAACAGCAAATCAATAAACCCTCAAAGTAATATTACTGCTTAACCAATGAAAAATCGCTATTCCCTTTCAAAAAAATAAAAACAAAGCAAGTAAATGAAATTCAGCATCAGCAATATTCAACTGCATTATCTTTACTTTTGGATGGGTAATTTCTTGAAGGCTGGATAATACCTCTCTGGCGGCGAAAAGAAAGAACCGTCTTTATTGTGAAACTTTTCTATGAAATTTGCATTTTCGCTTTTGTATCCGGTTATTTCATTTAAAAAGAAGTATTTCCTTTATTTCTCCTTTATTTTCACGACCACAAAGGATTTTAGGGGCATTTGTTTAATTTCCGAAACCATTCATTTTCTCAGAATAGCCAAGTCAAAATGAGAACAAATTGCTCCATAATTTTCAAAATTATCAGGAATTAATGATGATTTTTTTTCTCCCTAAATAATTAGAACCCATAAGAGTTATGGTTAGTTTTCAAAGAAGAGAAACACAGATTTACAACCTGACGCCATTTTAGACTCAGATGCGTTATAAATACTTCTACATACTATTGAATTTTGTATTTAGGCCTGACAGCAGAAATTCATAAAGTACAATAATTAACCTTGTATGTGTGATGGTAATGTCGCATAGACCGTTTTTATTTTTCGCTGGAAAACTGAGGATAGCAAAATACAAGCAGAGAAGGCACAAGAACCTATCAGAAAGCGAATGCATGGAGCTGATAGCAAGCGCAAGCAAGCGCGGGAAAAATGTGTCGCAATTCATCTGAACTTGTTACAGTTTTTCCTTGCTTGACTTTTAATTGGTTGAAAAGGTGGCAGGGGATTACTCCCCAACATGTCATCTGACTGGACGCGTCGTCTATCAAACAGTCATCAAAGCTGGCCAATGGATCGCCGTATGACAGCAGGGCAAATGAACAGTCATATATCTGACCAATCACCGTATGGCAAGCAGATCAATGAACGTTGCTAAGCAAAAAACAAAACAAAAACGAACGAACGAACAAAAGAACACGCGGCTCGTTAAGATAGGAATATTTCAACACTGGGATTTTTTAAACAAAAAAGCCTGGAAAAACAGTGGAAACAAAGTAGCTAGTTTTGTGGCGTTCCGATATCCGGCGAAAACAAATTGAAAGACTATTTGATTTTCCCTAGTATAATTGATAAAAGCACTTCGAAACAAATATATCATCTGTCCTGTAAATTTATTACAGTATTTTACACTTCTGATCAGCTACAATGAGAAAGAACTATACCCGGTATATTCAAAACAGGCTTGCAAAGTTACGATTGCCAAAAAAAGAGAATTATTTACATATTTACAAAACCAGGGTCGTTTCTTTTGTTGTAATTTTATGGCAATTAAAAATATATACAATACAAAAAGATAATTGGCCATCTTTTATTCCTAGCTAAAATGAGAACAGCATCCGATATACTGTTGTAACTACGATATTTTAGTTTTGTACCAGTACATTGTTAGTACGTCTTTCCAAACTGCTCGAAAACTGGAATTGGAGAAACCACTGTTTGAAATCTCTGCAAAAAGAAAAAAAAAACATGTTTACAAGTCTGCATTACATTTTAATAATGCTGCGCCAAAAACTATGACAGAAACAGCGAAAGTAACCTGAGCCGAGTGAAAATTGGGGATAGAGGGCCTTTTTCAGTTCACGCTTAGCTTTTTCACTCGTTTCAGTCTCGCCGAGCTTGCCTCGACTCAGCCACACCCAACATTACGAGAATTTCGTACCAATAAAATACTGGCTCACAATCACTCTATTTGTTCTTGCACCCAAATAGGGGTTAATTACTTGCAGACTAACAAATTACACTTCACACTCTTACCGAGGGTGTTATTCGTCTTTCTTTGTCTTCTTCCCTAAAATGTTTTGTTCCATACGGCAGGCTGAAAGAGAATATATTTCGATCAGGGTGAGGTTTTCTGTCTGTTTTATTGCGGTTTTTGCCTCGGTTTTCAATGCTAGACACCGCAAAATATTCAGTAATAGAAGGTGTATTATACTGTGATCCTTGAGCTTATCACCGTCATGCCTCATAAAATCTCTCCCTAGCTTCACGTGGTCGGCTGATCATGACGTCATACTCACCTTCCATATTGGGAAGTGGTGTGCAAAAGCGGTTCATAAGGACGGTCACGATGCGTGAATGGAAGGAATCTGAAAATGATAAAAATGGATACTTTCTTCTTAATATTTCCTCAAATTTTCAACCACGAATGATTCAAAATGTTAACGAATGAAGGGACAGTACTGTAGGAGGTTCCATTACGGTGAAATCTTGTGAAGATTTTTCAAATTTTTAAAAACAGGGATTTGATAATTTCTTTCAGAAAACCATTTATAAAATGTGCATTTTTGAAACAACAATACGGAGAAGTTTAACGGTAGCTTTCTTCCAAGAAAAAAGACTCCTGAAGTGATTTAGGAGACACCATTTAAAAGAAGGAAAAATGGTAAATGGTTATGATACTGCTATTTAAAGAAATGTTGAAAGGAGATGTCAGAACTTACATGGATGGTAAAGTTACAAGGCAGAAAAAGGAAGTCTGGTTGGGAGTCTTGGGAGTACATGCCTTACTCTTTCCCAGACCCTTGATTCCAAGTTATGAAGAGCAAGCATGCAGTATGAGATAAGCAAAGGTCTGGGATCCTCAAAAGTGATGTAAGAAAGGAAGCAAAGTAGCCGAAGGAATGTTTTAGGTTTGAGACCAAAACAAAATAATTGTTGTTGTTTTCTTCTACAGACAAGGATTAAGGATTAAACGAACAAAATGCATTCATAGCATAGAGAACTTCCTCATTGAAAAAGGTGGATGATTTTTTTATTGCTGGACCAGAAAAAGTACAAAGAAGACAGAGAGAACATAGAATCGAAGAAACGACTAAGTCTAACTTTGTTCTGATGAATGTAACATTCATCGCAAATCAAGGAAAGTAGCAAAGCATCATGATGCACATAAGGAAATTGAATGTTTAAGAATCTAAATTTGAGATTCTTAAACGTATTACAAGACTTATCGCAAGAGGGAGACTTGCAAAAAGTTATGGAAAGATAGTTGAGATCAGTTGAGGTTGTGAAGCTGGCATTTAACACGCAGCAGGCAGAAGAGTCCAGAAAAGCCACACTTTTTGGTAACTATCGTAAGGCAGGAGGGTTTTGGTAGACCAGAGTAAACAAAGGTTGACTGTCTGTTAAAGGACGAAGGTTGCAGTGAAGAACAGAGCTAGAAGTATCACACAAAGGAATGTTGATTGAGGCTGACTTGATGATAACGATATAAAGTGAGAGCACCAAGAGAAGAGAAGAAACACAGGCATCAATCAGCTTGTGACAGAAATATATAATGCGACTGAGGATATCTTTGAAGCAGTGCTAGACAGATATTGAGCTATTGACCACTAGGAGTTCGAGGACTTCTGAGGAAAAGCCAGAGGAACAATTCTGTGGAAAGGATAACAAAACAAGAACCCTGAGGGATTTGAGCCAAATTCTTCTTAGAGGTATAGATGCAAATAAACTGCACACGCTCTGCAAATTATACAAATGTAACAGACAACCAAACAAGCTGACAAAAAGTGAAACTAGACAGTCTGCATGCATCAAAGACAAAATGGTAATATAATGTAAACTAAACTTTGATGTCCTCAGACTTTTTTATGCAATGTTTTTGTTACTATAATACAAGAACAAGCTCATCATCTACTCACTTATCATCTATCAGTCTTGATACCCATTCATCAGCTTTCATATCACTCCTGAGAAAATATTGGACAAGATTGGTAAGCCCCAGTAAGATAAGTCATAAGCTGCACAGGGAATATGTCACCCAAGCCCAGCTATTAGCACACCTTTTTCGAGCCACCTGCTTGCCATGAGTAACTGATCTCTGTCGTTACAGCATTTAAAGTAACTGGAAAGTCATGCGTTTAGTTCTTGCTGGGGCTCAGATTTTTCTCTGATCATTTTTATATACCGTGGAAGCTCTCCAAACAGACACTGTTGTAAGCGTGCAGCTCTACTTATGGCGGCCTTCACAAAACCTTGCTTTTCTTAACTCCCACACAAACTCTGTATTGTTACATTCCCATAGGCAGCCAGCTCCAGTATTGTTATGGACACCCTTTTTGTATCCTGAGGGTGTCCACTTATGACAGCTTCCACAATACTTAATCCATTTTATCTCTTGAACAATGAAATTTAGGATTCAAACTCTGTGGCAACCTGAAAATAAAATTCCCTGACTTTTCACTGACGTTGTCACTAACATTGAACCCATTTTGTTTTCCCTTGATTTTCCCCATGACTGTCGCAACCCTGGTGTAAATGGGAAGTGGAGGACACAGACTTGAAAGGCTGATCAGCACATACCTGGCATCCTCTGCTGAGAAATATGACGTGGCCACTCTTAAAGTAGGATTTAATGGTTTGTGTCTCTGTTGCCATACCTCATCAGGAGTGCGGAATGGACCCTACACAAACACAAGACCAGGAACAAAATACTGGGTTAGTTTCTAAAGAAACAGTGGTGATATGTTGGTGGGCTTATTAAACAAAAAAAGCTGACATTCTGAGTGCCGAGCCCTTTGTCAGAGCAGATAACTTGAATAATCTTGCTATAGATGTCATCACATTAAATCAGGCATAATCCCCAGTCAGGCTGAGTTTTGATTGTTGAGTCTAAAATACACTCGTGCTAGTCCACAGGTTGTGCTGGCTCAAATTTTATATACCTGTAGTTCCTCCATCCTTAAACTCATTCTGGATTAAAGTGATTACAGCTAGCCTAAGAACACACTTTTTATTTATTTATTTTAGGCATGCTGACCTGAATCTGACCTGTGGAATGTGAAAAGACGAGTTTATAACTGACACAGCATTTAATAATTGTAGCAAAATCCACTACATGAGCAGAGGATGGAACCCTGTGCACATACCTGCATCTTCTGTGCTGTACTCATGGATATTGGTGGCAATGGAATACTTTTAGACTCTCTGGATAATGTTCTGACATTTCTCGACTGGTTGAGAATCTCTGCAGCATCAGATGGAAGCTGTGCCTTGAGACGCTGCCGGTTTCTGTGGTTGAGTGGTCTTACATTTCGAAGCTCAATTTCCTTTGCAGATGGATTTGGTGGGTAAAATGGCGAGTTGTATACACCAGGCACCTGGTGGGTGCTGATCAAGTAATGTGTTTTTTGTGCTCTCATCTCCTTTGCAAACTAAACCAAGAAAATAGTAATTGTCAATGACACAATGGCATTAACTATGAAACTCACAAAACCATGAACACAGGAAATATTTATGGAATGTTATTGTGTTACGAGGAGAAAGCCAATGCATGAGAAACTTGCAAACAGCAAGGATAATTAGTTTCTGGTTTTGTAGTTTGCTCGCGTGTCCTGAACTTAATTGTGATTGGTCACAACAAAATCAATTTTCCTGAAAATGTTCAGGTGTTCACATGCAGTTTTCTGAGTTTGACAGTAAATACTGCAACTGTTGTAAAATGTTATTTGAAATTATTACAGGATTTTATTTTGTTTGAACAGCTGCTAAACTTAGTCAGCAAAACAGAATGATGAGTTGTTTAATACTTACACTGTGGTTTAAACTTTATTTTATGATGTACATTAGTAGAGCATCTGATTTTGAGTATCACAAAAACAGCGTTAGAGTCTGATTACCTTTTCTTCCAACTCTCTTTTCATGTCTTTTTCTTTTTCTGATTTTATGGCAAATTCTTCCACCTCTTTCCTAAAAAAAAAAATCAGTACCCTAGACTGATTACATAGTTCACATTTATTCAGCCCTCTGACTTGTTTGAAAATTTCTATCCATTCACAACTTTCAAGCTGAGACTGCAAGGTTGTCTATTACCACTACAACGATAATACTGACATACATGTGATACCCATAACGTACTGGGCTGATTATACTGATTGTTTGCTACATATCAACCAGAGGCATCTTTGCCCGGCAGGCCAATAAATATCATATAAACCAACTCTCCAAGATTATCTCATAGTCTCTTAATATGGGATAACTCTCCTGGTCCCCTGTACAGGTCATCAAATCTTCTGGATAAAATTGACTTTTTAGTATCTTAGTCTCACCTCACTATTTCATTCTTGGCGACAATACCCTGTAAGTATCTCTTGCGACTGTGGTAATTATAGATATACTTGCGCACATAGAAACCTATCAGAAAATAATCACACATTAGATAGTATCTTAGCCAATCAGATTATGGAATTGTATGCTGGTTGGTTTCAATTAATATTTTTGTATCAATAATTAAAAGCATAGAGCAATAATAATACATTATTATATTTAATATGTCAATAATGGGGTTAATTAACTATATAAAAAAACTTTCCATAACCTACCTCTCCAAAATTTTTGAATCTGTAGAAAAATAAATAAATTTTGAATTATTTCATTTTTCAAAACTAAAATCAAATTTAAATGGCAACTGTATTAGAAGTTATAAATTTGAAATCTGCATGGATGCATCAACACTTACTATTGTTGCTTGCTTGTTGTAGGAGTCAACCCGCATGTTGGTCAGTTTTTCCTGATAGAACAAGGTATTGTTAGAAATTGAGCTATTAATCAATCAGGTTGTTGTATGGCACTGTCATTTACTTACTTTGCTCATAGTTCTCTCTTTAACAATAACATTTCAATTTACAAAAATGTTTGGTGAAAGATAATGAATCAGCAAATAAAATCTTACCTGTACAAGATGTCTGTAAATTTCTCTTCCTTTGTGACCTCGAAAATGTCTCTGTATTGTTGTTGCACAGTGATGAAGAAATCTATGAAAAAAGATACAATATTATAGATATGTTACAGTAAATTCAAAATTAAATTCAGGTTAAAATTTTTTATCCTAGGTTGATTGTCAATTTTCCTAAATGTCTCCTAGCCCTAATTATTATTTTGTGAATTAGGGCTAGGAGACAAAGAAAATTGAGAATCAACCAAGGTTAAATAATTTTTAAAACCTGAATTCAATTTTGACCCACGACAGATACACTGTACATGCATTATTTGCAGCATTGATTCCAAAAATTTTCACTTCCCCTCCCCACTCCCCACAGAAGGGATTGGAAATTCCTGTGTTGCGGGTACCAAATTGTTGGAATTTCTAGAGAGGTTGAGGGGTTTTAGAAAAAATCACCTCAGTGGGGGAGGTGTGTGTGGTCCAGGGTATGGACATTATTATTTTCTGGCGCTCTTTATTACTTCCCATTAATAAAGAGTGAGCGAATAAATCTGTATTATGTACTGTTACAACCTAAAATATCAAAGATCAATGTTTGGTTGTTGGATTGTGATTTGATGCCTGCAGTGCTTTCATGTCTCATTGATGATGAAAAATGGAGGTTTGACTCCTATAATAGTGTCAAGGTTAGAATCAACTACACTTGTTCTCATACATACTTAAAGTAAGCTCTAACTTTAGTTCCCCTAAACCAAGACTGGATCTTAAGTGCTGCTTGGAATTCCTTTTGCCTTTGATCCTCTGCATCTCTGTAAAACATAACAAGTCAATCTGTTAACTGCACATCTTATTAGAGCGATTTTCATATGACCTTGAAAAATGGTTTTTGTTTACAAGTGTTTGTTATTCGTTTCATCAGCCAATGGATGAAAAGATCAAAACATCACTGCATTGTTTTCCCGCCAAAGAAAAATGTAACATGAAGAAGGCATTGTTTGATTGGCCAATCGTGTTGCAGTATGAGGTCAACAATCATGTTTGTAAAATAAGTGAGCATGTACTTTCCATTAAGATTAACTGAACATTAGAAGTTTCAACACTTTAGAGACCTGCATTTGTGTGCTTTTCAAAGGGATTTCTGTGTTGTGCTCAAGTCTAAACATACACAAAATTCTTCATTACTTAGCCACACAAATCTACTGTGCCCAGGACATGAGTAGCTGAGTGCTGGTAGTTGTATGAATTCAATGTTATTTATTTCTGAGACAGATGCACTGTACTGATATTCTTGCCAGCTATGGACTATAAGTCAGACACTGGGCCTAGTTTTACATAAATCAATGTGTAAAGTATTACCTTCGGCTTGATTTAGTATCTCTAGCTATAGTTTTTAGATGAAAACAAGTTACAGTTACGCGATCATGCTGTAAATTACAGGGCATGGGGAAGTTATAAACTTTAGCTTTATCAAGTTTTTGAGCGCAAAAACTGCCCGAGATATGTCTCTTCCGTGATCAAAGCTTAAAAACATGTAAACGAAAGGATACTTAAGGCCTTAATGGCGTAATTCTTGTCATCTAACCTCTGCTTTTGAAATAATTGGTCAACAACATTCCTTCTAGACTCCATCAAGGTAATGAAGGTAGCCATTTTGTACAGTTTCTGTCTAGATAGTTCCCATGGAAACCTTAGCCAAATCTTACCCAGTCCCCACTCTGCCTTCTTGACCCCTCCAAAAGCTCGTTCTTTTGGGGATCAGAAGAAATTTGAATCATCCTTTTAAAAGTAAAGTACGATTGAGTTTTTTATTATTTAAATATGGTTATAGCTATTGATGTGTTCTTTTTAAAATTAACCTCTACCTCCGCTTCACAAGAAATGACTTCATAGAAACGGAGTGCCCAAAATAATTGCTACAATTTGGACTTGGTCCATTGGTCACGGTATCAAATTTATGAATAACAGCAAACCCTTCGTCACAGCACTTAATCAAACGATTTGAGGAGTACTGGTGTGGTTTGTATTTCAAAAAGGTAGCTTTGCTATAAGAAAGGACATGCCATAGAACAGTAACATTTTTTTCACCTGGTTTTCAAACATCTCAATTTTACTCTCCAAAAAATTACTAACTTGCAGTACTAATTGTCATGCGTCCAGTCACGCGATGGCGGCGTGGCTGAAACGTGCGTGGCGCGCGCATCCGCTTTCATGAGCTGACATGGATCAGTGACGTTGCCTTGAAAAAATCCATTTTATCCGTGTCACGTAAATAACACAATTTGCAATGATACTTTTCTGAAGCATACCATTGTAAGGAATTTGACACAAACCTTTTGAGCAGTTTCCTAGTCCGGCGCGGCAGTGACATGGAAGGGAAAATGTCCCTGGTCTTGCCGTGAAACGCAGATTTTTTTTCCCCTTCCAAACAACTACCCCAAAAAACTATTCTCATTTATATTCTATGTTTTTCCTGTTTCCTGTTTTATTTTTTGCTAATAAAATCTTGACAGTCGACGTAGTAAAAGTGCCCTTTTGCTCTGGTCTTAGCGAAAATAATCATGAACGAGAAATAACAACAAAGAAATTCCATGTATCTATCCTTTAAAAGTGCGATGACTCTTTTGGTTACTAATCAGTTTTTAGTCATGTTTAATTTTACTTTCACTCGTAAGAGATCGGTGACCTAATCTTATTTGCTGGCCTGCGGTAAACTAATATATAGCTTATTAAATTTGTAATTACTGAAGACGCGCTCTTACAGTGAGTAACAAAAAGGGGATAGTAAACATTGATGGTCTTCCACTGGGAGGTTGATAAGGTTAATAGGCGGCCAGTCTTCGAGATCAAATTGTCAAAGAATGTCTCCATGCCTTGCCTGAGAACAAAGCATTCGAAACTATATCAGTTTCGGAGACGTTCATCACCTTAGTATAAATTTAGTCCACACCTCACCTAGAAACCAAACATGTTACTGCACCCTATATCCAGACAAAACAGTAACCGGTCGCTTCCTTGTGTGCCCTTTTTTATCGTAATTTCCTTTAACCTTTTGTGGTCATTGTTGTATCATTTTATTTTTTCTAGAAAGAAAATAGCGAGGTCAAAATTTGTGTAATATATTTCAGTTTATTTATACGGAAAGGGAAGTTAAAATCATTGGATGAAGTTTTCTTTCCTATTTATTTACATTTGCATCCCACGCTCTACTAAGTTCATAGAATGTCCTGGTACATTCTTTGATCTCATCTGGTCTTACCTGTAAGTAAGTTATGACAGGAGTTCGATTCGTGTTCAGAGATGTGAACTTTTTTGAAAGATACTATTTTATCCGATTATGACAACTATCATGCTTCTCGTCAAAGGACATATTTATTGAACACGACAAAGCACGCCAATACTTCGTTAGGGTAATAATTATTTTTAGAACCCGGGAAATGTTCGTTTCCGCATGAAATAACCCGAGGGAAGGTACTCGTGGGAGTTCGCAAACGATCGGGCCCTTTCGTCACAATGATAACTCCATATATGGTGGATGTCGTAAGAAGTTGTCAGCAGAATTCTTTTTCTTTTTGAAGGCGTTATGTCATTGGCTAGCGATGACATCACTATTTCTTTTGACCAGGCTATTTTTGCTTCACACAGTTTCTCAACAACCTACTAGTATGCAAAATGAGGGTTTACAAAGAATCGGGTTGTTTCGAAAGCCATTCGCTCTGCTAGTCGCTCTTTTGGAAAGCTGGGATTTTCCAAAAGGGACAGAGAACTTCACTTTGAGTTTGGGAATAGTTTGTGTTGGAATATTCGTCTACACGTGTTGAAAAGAACTTGCATTGGTGGTGGTCTTGTCTGAGACAGCTGCTCACACGCGTTTTCGTTCGGTTTTCACCGAAGGTTTTTACTTTCTTGTTTCGCGTTAAATTATTGTCTTAATGCCTCCTCTTCTGTTCCAACCAAGACCTACAGAAGTGAAAGTCGGATGCGTAAATCGACCCAACACTATGTCAAGTTGTGGTAAATGGAAAATTGTTACGTCGTTTGAACTCGCCCAAAGATTGAGTGATGTTGGTACGAGTTCTTGTTCATCGGAAATTCTCATTGTTGACTGCAGATCTTTAGTAGCCTTCAACGGATTACACATTAGAGGTGCTATACATGTGAATTGCACTGGAATAGGACGAAAAAGACTTTCACAAGGCAAAGCTAAACTAAAGGACTTAATATCTTCTGCCGAGGGCAAACAAAAGTTTATCAGTGGTGGAGTGGGGACCTCGTTTGTCGTTTACGATGAGCTGTCAACTGACCCTGATGACTGTAATCCTTGTCGACCGATTTGCTTAGTATTACAGACTCTTTTAAAAGAAGGCAAGAATATTTCAATACTTAAAGGTAAGTTGGGTTTTATTAGCACCAGTTTCTTATACAACGCAAACGCATAAGTACTGTATTCGGTCAACCGCAATTCTTAGCGCGCATTTTGCGTACACCTTATGTCAACAAATGACGCCGTCCGATCGAGACGCGCGATAGTTTTCCTTTGTACAAATTATAATCTTCAGTTTCGTCTCCCTTGTTAGTTTTAGATTTTAATGCTTAAAAAGAGCTTGAATTTGGTTTTTGTCGTGCTTATATTCATGCGTAGTCGTTCGTTCGTTCGTAAACAGCTGTAACATAAAGACATGGTCACGTTTAAGTTATTCTTTTGTCAAGAAAGCTTGTGTGACGCAAGTAAGGCTCAGATACCGAAAAAGCAATGGTCATGCTTCGTGATCAGTTTTGTTTGCTTGCGCAGGAAATAATCTGACGTCGGCATTTTTCGCTGCACGAATTCCTATTCCTTTTGTTAAGAGGTGAAATTGAAAGTGTTTTAGTGGCTTTGTGGGCAACAGATCCCCCCTCGAGCAACTCCTAATCTACATTCTGAACATTGACTCTTTTATACCTTCATTATCATATTATGTCATACAATCATCCTCAGTCTGCATTCTTTTCGTAGCAGAAAAGTTAAAAAAAAATAGCCTAAAGAAGTTTATAGTTGGAGGTCAGCATTTATACTGAAGAGCAACACAGATTCTGTTTCATTTCTGCTATTTTTACCTGGGTATGCTAAGTATTTTTTTAAGGAATAATTTTCACAGGCATTTGTCTGAATTGGGATTAACATCTGTAAGGAATTTTGGTATGAAATGTGACTTAACACTGCTGTTATGAAAAGCATTTAAAACGCTTGCAATCACAAAGAATAGTATTTAAAGGGTTTAAATTTACCCAAATGTGGAATTGCATTGCAAACACATTTCACACTGTCCCGATATCAAGCTATTTTAAACTTCTTGGCTTTCGAAGAGAATTCTGTTTGTATGGTGTACTTTTACAAGTCTATATTGGAGCTATCATTGACAGTCAATAACCAGAGATTTTTCCAAACTATTCTGGTTTTGTTAACCCTGTAATGCCCAATATTCACATGCAAATTCTCCATACTGATCTCAGTACATGTCAAAAGATCAAAACCTTCTCCCTTTGTTGACCATTTTTTACATATTCTCATTTACCTTTTCTTTTGATGGTGAAAGGATGTTGTAAGGAGAAGATTGATGTTGGTCACTTTATTTTCTTTCCTCTTTCAGAAGTAGGTGAAAGTTACTGCATCATAGCTAACTTCACTTCTCAAAACCAACAAAGCTTTCCTTTTAGCTTGAGTTCTGTGGTCTTGTATTTCTAACCACCACATCTTGAAGCTATATCCTTGTTTTCGTCCAATTCTCAAGTGTCCAAAAAACAAACACTTCAGCTGCTGTTATGAATATCCACCAGTCAGTTTCAGATTTAAACTTTTTACCGAAAACCTCAAAGAAGTGATCAGTAAGTAATCGTTGCCAGCTTATGACACTGAACCCAAAAGAAGACAGTGCTCATTAGCTAAGGTTGGGAAATCTTTGTTCTACCCGTGAAGGTCTGGACAGTGTTTTCATGACTAAACATGTTGAAAACACAATATCCCCTCTTCCATGATTGGACAAAGCAAGTTTATTCAGTAATTTTCTAGACTGGGTTGTTTAAAACTGGGTTAAGATCACCCTGGGTCAGTGCTATATTTTAACAAGATTGCTACTGTTTCTTGATCAATGCTTAAATATTCATCTGCAGATGGTTGACTGTTGATGGTTTAATTATCACTTTGCTGAAGTTAAAGCTGTTGTTTTCAGTTTTTCATTTCCTTTTCTTCGTTCATGTTACTCTTTCATTCACGGTAGATCCTTGCTGGATCTTTAATTTTCAGTGGTATTCAATTTTAAACTGGTTGTATGTTCTTGTTCACTCCAATATTCGGGTATGTTGTAAACTAGCCATTGACTTGAACGGGTGCTCAATATCAAAATTCCTTAAATGTCTGAAATGTTTGGTAGAATCTTGAATGGTTACACAAAGGGATATTTTCATCTTTTGGCTGAAAGCTGGAACAAAATTATATGTCCTGATAATATTGGGAAGTTAAAGACCCAAAGGTTAAACTTTACATTGTTTTTTGTTAGCTTGGTTTAAATTCAATTGGATATTTGAGGGTAACACTGAAGATGCAGTTTTTGATATGGCCGGCTGCAGTTAGAAGCTTCCTTTCACTGGAGTTTTTCATATTATGCCTCCTGTTGATGACAGGTCTTTATATATTTTACTGTTCAAAATGAAATTTAGTTTAAAATAGTTTCAGCATAGTTTTAGTTTCAACTTCTTTTGTTTCGTGACCTTAGTATTACTCACGGTTGTAAATAATGAAAGAACTAAAGAAAAATGATCAGGTTATTGATTTATCTGAATAATAAGGGTAGGAGGCAAAGAAAATTGAGAATTACATAAGCTAGATATTTGACCCTTTTCGTTCCTTCTTATCTGAAATAAGGCTGAAAATTCTGACCTTTCATGTTGTTCATGTTTCGCATCCACCAGTGATCAAATTTCATTATCCTTTTTGAGAAAATGTGAAACTTTGACAGTTAAAACCTTTAATCTCACCATCAGAACGTGAATTCTCCCTCCTCTCCCCCTACAAATTCCCGGCCATAGTATACATTTACTACATAAGTGAGTTTATTGCTTGATCATGTTTTTGTTTCTTACTGCTTCCCTGATTGATTAACGTTTGTCATGGCAAGGGAGAAATTTCAAGCTCATAGCTATGTAGGGGTTATAGCTTTAAAACTTAACCAAGGTTATAAATTTAAATATGTTTTGCATGCCATCTGGTTTTCTGGAAAGTTACACTTACTTCTCCCATGGAGTAAACTCAACATTCCTAGCCTTCTTAAGTTGGAAGAATGGGTTTGAAGTGTTAGGAGTTCCAAAGGTCACAAGGAAATTAAATGTGCTTAAAAGGGAAAGTGACTGTTTTTGAAAACGAATCAAGCTATATTTTGAATAAAAAGAAGGGATGGTTGGTTTGGGTAATTCTGTGATAGCTGATTCCCTCAAGCAGAATAATTTTCTCTAAATTTTTGCTCTTGACATATAATTTACAACATTTAGGATACAATTTCCTTGAGGTAATAATTTTTATTTACCAGGGGTGGGGGGTAGGGTCAGTTAGTAGCAAGGAAAATATGGAAGAACTCATCCAGAACAATTGTGTTAGGTAACAGCATGGCTAGTGAACTGGAAACGTAGGCAGATTTAGCTGACTTAATACAGTAGGTCACTAAGCTATCTTGAACAAGATGTGATTAAAATAAATTTTCTTTCATCAGCTAAATATGGTCATGCCACAAGGTGGTTTACAAGTAATTGTATGCATTCACTTTTCAATATGAATAGCTGATTTAAAGGATTTCCACTGATTAATTTGGAGTCTGTCATAATTTTTCATACTTGCATGTATTTTTAATCAGGGTTTTCCCAGGATCAGGTAATTGCATTAAGGGTCATTTAATTTCTTCAATTAATTCTGCTGTTCTCACTGACCCATTAAATGGTATATTTGGTTATGGAGTTAGGTTAATTTATAGAAGTAAGCTTTCACATAAAAGTCCCACTGTTTCGTCCCCTTTATATGCTAAATCAGATCTAATTCTCTCAATATTGCTGTTATAGTAACTAGTCATGAACGATATCCTTATCAAGTTTAGCCTGAGTGGGCATTAAGGCCCAAATTGGCACGGTCGATGCAGACCACTGAGTTGAAAGACTTTACAACACTGACTTCACCCTTTTGATATTTTTGTTTCACTAAATATGTGTGGTTATGTGGTTCACATGTTTTACTTCAAAGTAGCAACTAGGTTCAGTAATTAGGAAACAACCTGGACAGAACTTGACTGTAATGCCTTGTAGAATTTTGTCCTTGGCACCATTGGAAATACCAGTGAAAAAACCCTTTGGTGAGTAAGTGAGGAAGTAATTGACTGAGTGGAATAGCAGCTTCATAATTTCAAGGTGTTACTGTGGGTCAATTTTGGGCAATTACATATAGGGTTCTAGGTTTTAAGTCATGAATGAAATCCAGTAATGTGACCACTCTAATAACACTTCTTTCGACATACCGTATTTTTGTCGATAAATAACCACATGAAGTTTGGGAGTTAAGTAGAATTTTGCTGATTGGATGTGTACTCTTGTGAGTGGAAAGGGAAACTGTCTTGCCTAGAGTTATGGAGATATGAAACAGATTTTAAAATTTGGACTGAAATGAACTGCACTTAGTCGTATTTTAAACTGGTACTGTTTGCTTTAAAGCAATTCGAAAAGATTAAATTGGGATTTTATGTAATTAATTTTTCTGATTGTATAATCTTGAGGATGAAAAAATACATTTATAAACGATATTTGGAATGCTTCTCGGTGTTTGGATTTTAGCACCGTTGGAAATCGCATTTGATAATTCTGAGAGGCAGTCAAGTAATTGCAGCAGCAATAATATTGTTCTCGCTCAATTTCATCAGATTCAGCTCTTGTGAAATGCGACGTTTGAACCGCGCCTTACATGTAAATCCGTTTTTTTTTTAATGCAAGGTAAAATTGTACTCATTAGTGTTTGGTTACAACTTCTTGTGCAAGATTCCGTTATGCCATTCGTTAGGTCGCTTAAGCATGCTTTTGCTCTGGAAAAGTTTGTCTTCACCTCGAGCACGCCCAGTTGTGTCGTAGTTTTTTCAATGTGTCGGTTAAGTGCTTTTGAATGGCCGTTTTGAGAAGTTCCCGTAACCTGCCGTTTTATTGAAAGTGTTCTGTACAATAAGCTTGAAGAACTTTGACCACTTTTAATAATCGTTCGCGGACAGAGACTAGAACTTGTGTACATGTGCGCGAGTGAAAGGTGATAAGTTTGATGAGTGAATTTCTTTTTACTTTTCTGATGTTATGTACGGACGAAACATACTACACCTATTCACGGTCAATTTATTTATTTAATTTTTTTTTTCACCGTGCTTCAAGTAGCATGTTATTTGAAGGACGGAGGGTTAACTAGTTTGTTGACTTACGTTCTTTAAAAAAACAAAAAAAAAGCGTTTAGTAGCCTGAGAACCACTCATAGCTTCGATTCACATCAGGCATAGCTTTCTTTAGGTTTTCTGCAGTGTCGTTTCTTGAGGTTTGTTTATTTTTCGAAAAGCATCCAAGCATTTCTCTGTTTATCAATGATGTTGTGGTTTGCATTTTAAATTCCACATTTTCACTTTCCGAAAAGAAAAAATCATGTTTCTTGTCTTGTCGCAGAAGTTTCGCTTCCTAGTGTTGATGGGCAACTTCTTTGGTAATTTGTTTCCCAAGACCTTCAACGATCTAAACCGTTAATCGTCTGTCTGTCCCTGTGTGAACTGAGTGAAACTCGTGAGGTCGACTTGTGGCAAGTCTATGCAGTACCTTGCAATTGTCTAATAAAGCTTGTATCACCTCCAGCTATGTCGACGATATTTCCTTCGAGGTCTTTAGATAACGGTATTTGGGTGAGTTAGTTGCACTTTGAGTCAAGATGTTAAGTTGCGCTTGATCACCCTCTTCGTTCGCGGATAGATTGGAAATAAGCCGTTAGACACTGTCAAATTACCTCATGACAGCATAAAAGCTCTTTATTTTCTTTATCCAGCATAAATTCTACTGTTGCAAAAACCCGCGGGCCCTCAGAGAGGCGTATCTTGCCTGTCAAAGTTGGGCGGACACGTGAATGGTTCCATGTTAGTCGGCCAGCCTTTTTCCCGATACGATTTATATCTGGAGTCTTTCGTAGCGCGTATTTAGCCTTCGATTGCTAATTTGAATGCGTTTTGTGAAATCGCAACTGCAAAACTCGCAGGTAAATTGAGCAAGCTGAAAAGTCTTGGTTGACAGGTGTTTTGGCAGTGAGGCACCAGTGCGTAACACTGGAAAATAATTAGTCAAGCTAAAGAGAGTGTAATTGTTAAGTCATTATTAAGTAATACCTGCCCGTTTCTCTTTTCTCAATGACCTAATGGCGTCGTTCTCTTTACGTATGTTTGTGGTGAAATTAGAAACTGTGGCGAGTCTTGTAGTTTGTAGAAGAAAAACTGCAAAAGCAACGAGGAAATATGAACGCGCGGTGCTGTGGAACGCGAGTGGGGCTTTTGCAAAGACGGCGCTCTCATCTTACTGGTAATTGTGCACCTTTAATAACTGTGTTGGCTGCCCAACAGTGCACTTGTATGCTATAACAGGTGGTTGTCTTCAAAGTCAACAGTCGTACTTCCAAGTTGCTGGACCTTTTTCTGCAGTTATTAAGTTGCAAAGAGGTACCTCGACAAAACGTATCTTGGGGTTGTTACAAGCGCGATCAATTTGGCTTTCTTTAGTCTCCAGAGCCTTTCAATAATCAGAGTTGTGTTTTGTCATCCTTCGCTTGACTTGACATCTTATTATAACTTTGATTACAGCGAGAAAGTCAGCTTGGATTTGTTTGTTTCCTGCATTGAGTTAACTTTTCGTGGGTTTGAACTCTTACTTTGCAGTGATCTTTTTGTACTGGAGTGTGGTGAGAACTCGTCAAAAGCTGCAGGCGCTCTTCCGGTTTTCTTATTGTTGACTATACAATCACTTCCGGTGCCGTAGTTATGTTTGGTACCCGCTGTCGCACAAAGATGTTCAACCGTCTAAGTTGTTTCCCTGGTTTCATTCTAAGACCCTGGTGCAATTGTTTAGCCTCATTATTACCTGTTGTTGTTGTTGTTTTTTTTCAAAATTGGTACTTGTTATGGACGGTTCCCGTTGGTATTTACCTATTTTTGCGCGTTTCTCCGGGTCTTCATTCTCTTTGTGGTTGCTTATTGTTCCAGGCTGTCATTATGTGTAGTGCTGTTTATACAACAATGTGCGCGGCTCAAATTCTAGCTGAACTAGTAGCCGATTTGCGTTGAAAAATCAACTCCCGATGCTGAATGAATGTATTCTAAGAATTCTTTTGAAAACATGGTCAAGCGCCCGGGAAGAGAATGACAGAATTAATTTGTTTATATGTTGTAAAAATCTCAAAATTAAAACAAAAAACAAATATATGGCAAGGCAACTTTCTTGTCTTTGGTAAATTCGCAGCAAAAATGACCGCGAACAAACTTACCAAGCTTGATAGCCACGACAAGCGCGGGTGATTACATGCGAACAAGCCATGAGTGTTGGTGCTCTAATATCAACCTATGTACAGTGCAGTGGCAAATCCAGACCTTCAGATAAGGTGTGTGTGGGGGGAGGGGCGGGCGAGCCCCACGGGCCCCTCCCCTGTTTCCGCCACTGCAGTGGAACCCCGCCTTACGACCACCGTTTTTATACGACCACCTCGTGTTTACGACCCTATTCTTTCGACCCAAATGTAAAAATCCCTGAGTTATTTTATTTTTTTGAAGAGCTCTTTAATGCGACCACCTCGTTATTGCGACTAGGATTTTATGGCCCAACGGTGGTCACTTTAACCCTTTAAACCCTAACATCAAAATTCAAATTCTCATTTGTTATCCCTATACGTGAAGGCCACCATTAAAAACCGTTTTGTGTTTGTTAATTTTTTTTTCTCACAGGAGGACTAAAGGAATTTTGTAGGGACTATCAGAACTTATGCGAAAACGTTCCGGTTAATATCTGCCAATCTGCGGACTTCCCACCCTCTCCGACCACATGTGAACCTGTTCCAGGTCGCCCTCAGGGAACGCCCGTTACGGCCATCCTACCTTATCTGTATCTTGGCAACGAAGAAGGCGCCGCTGACGAAGCCTTGATTGACAGGCTGTCAATCAAGTACATCCTTAACTTGACGCCGCGATGTCCGAATTTTTTCAGCCAGCGGCCAGACATTCATTATAAGCAGATTAAAATACACGACTCGAATCAAGAGGACATCGGTCAGCACTTCGATGAAGCAATTCAGTTTATTGGTAAGTTAAAATACAGTACTTCATTGGTGAGCATTGGGAGACGGCGCTCTGGTAGAAACACAAGCGATTTGGTTTTCTAGTTAAGCGCGAACCATCTCGTGAATTTGTCCAGGTGGACCAAAAATGGGTGTTTTATAAGTGAGTGCTTGCGTATTTCAAGCTGTGCAAGGTGTATTGCGCTAGAACAAAAAGGCATTTTGAGACACGTATCAAGGCGCAACTCAGCGCACCATTTCGCCAGGAGGTAAGTTCGTTTATGCTAAAACTAACAAGCACTATCCTAATTGTGTGAAGCAAGGAATGGGTAACCTGACTTTCCCAGAAGGACACGTGACTATTTCAGACAGTTACAAGGTAAAAGAACAAGTGTTTGAAAAGTTTGTTCTTGTGTGTTCTTTAGTTGATGGGATATTCCTGTCTTGGTGTCATGGCGCCTTTATTGTTGGAATGCCTGTGGTGTCATGGCGCTTTGTTACTGGGATACCTGTGGAACTGTGTCGTGTCCTCCTTGTGCAGTACTGCGAGGCACGGTTCCAGTCTGTATCAGAATTTCCCAGTGTACACCGGTGGCAAACGAAGAAGAACTGAAGGCAGATGGACTTGTGTCACCGGTGAATGAGGAAAGGATCAATCATCGAAGTCAAGAATTGAAGTCAAACATGAGTTGGGTTACTTCGACAAGTAATTACAAAATTCATTTGTCGTTAAACACGCAGTATATTAAACCCATCTAGTGATATGGAAACCATGAATTGCGATCAAGTAACGCAACTTCGTTTCTCACGGTTTTCTTTCTTTCGCAGACGAAGCCCGTGAACACGGATATGGTGTTCTTGTTCACTGTCACGCCGGTGTGTCACGCTCGGCGACCGTGACGGTAGCCTACATCATGAAGCAACAAGGCCTGTGCTTAGGCGACGCGTACAAATTTGTCAAGGAGCTGAGACCAGTGATTTCGCCAAACTTAAACTTCATGGGGCAACTCCTTAAGTACGAGAAAAATAGGAGAAACGGCGACAGTTCCTGAGGCTGTCACCCTTGGTGGCTTGTCACGTTGTTGTCACGCTTTGTGGTTGCGTTATTTTGATGCACGTGTGTTTGGTACAGTGTAGATGCATTTAAAGCGTGCAGAAATCTTACCACACACGCCTTCTTTGCAGAGGTTATTCAACAGAGAACAGAAAACAAAGGAAACCAATGGACTCCGCTTAACGTTTGTATATACTACAATCGGAAATATTAAGTATGAAGAAGTATTTAATAATATAATATTATCAATAATTAAATCGCTTTATCTAACATTGGAAACATGAAATAGATGGTGCTTGACCTATCTTTATTTTGATAAACGTTAGATAATTTTGGTAGTTTTGTTGTTTGTAGTCGTAGTTTGTAGTTTTGTTAGGTAATCCTAAACACAAAGCAGTTCCTTCTTGAACGGGTTGGTTGCCAAACGTTGTATTTGTTACTCCAAATTCCAGTTGCCAATTCTTCAGCAGGACTTTGTCAAAACGATTTTTTAACGACTTGAGATGCAAACAATTCGCCACTCTAGAAAAGAAAGGAGACTGCACCGAGGTAACTTTCGCAAAGACTTATGGGACTGTCACTGGGGAGAGGGAAAAATATTGGTCACTAGCTGTCCTAGTCTGTCTGTCGTCATGCAACACTCTCCTGGGGAGAGGCGTTGCGTGACGACACTAAAAACGGCTGTATAGCAGACAATAACTATCCGGAAGTCCCTGCGAAAGCTATCTCAGTGTAATTTCCTTCTCGTTTCTAAAGTGACGAATTTCCTTTCATTCTAAGGCGACGAAACTTGCTTCTTATCTAACCTTTGCCCTCTTAATACAGCGAACTACGTTGAAGAAAATTATAATTTGTAACATCCATATCTGGCGAGTTAGATTAAAAAGAAAAATATAGTGCAAGAGGTTAGTGGTTAATTAAGCCCCAGTAGACAGTTTTTGTTTGAGGAGTGGAACATTTAGGTTTAAAGCCGCGATTTGTACGCTGTTGAAGAAGAAACCTAAGTGCGCTTGGTCTCTCAGACGCTAGTTGTTAAATATGATAAGTACTGTGTACTTTTTGTCGTAGAGCAGTTTTCAGTTGAGTGTTGAAAGTAATTCCGTGAAGGCTTTGGGTTAATAATTTACGCTTTGTGACTGGCTGAAAAATGTCACGCCATATTTTTCTAACCCCTGGCTTACACGTTTTTTTCCGTGCTTGGTACCCGGTACACGGGTTTGGTTCAAGTTGTGAAACTGGTCGTGTCTTGGTCTCCCTCTTTTTCCCTCGCTTGGTGATTGAGATGTAACTGGTTTATCAGGTCGTGTTTTTCACGACACTCACTGGAAAACTGCTCTAGTTACACTGGCGGTATCGCTTGATTCTCAGACTGTCTGACGTCGCCAGGGGCAACGGTGGACCTTCTGAGGATCAAGCTCATATAGCAAAAATATGAAAAAACTAAATTATACGAATTGCATATATATATAAATACTAAAGTCGTAACAGTAAATACCGTTCCAGAAAGCATTAACATAGACCCGCGTTATTTAAATATCATACGATGCAACCGACCAACATACAAAATCTTAGTACATTTGTACTGTACACCAGGAAACAACCTGTTGCTTTCTCCTGAATTCGTCCAAAAAGGTCAAAGATTGGGCCTCGCTTTCAAGTGGAGGTTAACAAATTCTTGCCGAATCCTTTGCTTAGTGAGAATTTGCATGGGACGACATTTGTTTCGCCGTGAGTGGAAGGATCTTTAAGCACAACTTTGCTACTGTGACTGGGGGTGATATGCCATCTGTCTCTCTTGGTGTTTTCATTTCATTCAACCTTTTTCCTTTTTTTTTCTTTTTCGCGACAGCGAAGAAAAATAATGCATAAACGTGTTACCTTCTAAATATCGCAGATGAAAAGCAGTTTTTTATGTGACCCAATAAGGTGCTCAGTTAAGTAATAGAAAGTCTCCATATGATCTACATTCTATTGTGTGGTGTGAAAACTGTAAGATCCACTTTTCGAAGTAGTCAACCCTACCCGTATGCGGGACGTAAGTCGTTGAATTGATGACATAGATAACAGTAGTTAACGGCTTTACCAATAAACGTAATACGAATATATATGACAAGTTATTGCAAAATAGCTCGGCATTTTTATACCAATTATATTTTAGCAGGAATACTACCTTAAGCTTAAACCCAGAGATATCCAAGTACAAGGTGATTTACCGCTGCTATTAGTACTGTGGGCCTAAGTAATTTGAATATCTTGTTTGAATAGTCGCATATAGAAAACAGTTATCCACACTCGAAAGTTATAATTCTAGCGTATAAAATAGTAAACAGCAGTCATTTATATGAGTAGTCATTGTGGCATAATAGACTTGCTAGCAGGAACGTATTCTTAAACAGCTGTTAGGAAACTGGGATTACACTCTTTTAAGTGCCAGCAATATTGTTCAGTATCACATTTGTCCTTTAATTCCCAAGAGTGATCAAGTTCAATATTCTCCTAATAACTTCAATACATATTCAAGAGAAAAAAGTTCTGAGAATTAACAAAATTATCACCTACAGGAATCCTTAATCCTTTGATCTAGTAGCGAATTCTCTCAACTTTCTCTTAAATGAAATTCATGGAGATCAGTTTGGAGAATTTGTATGTGTATGTTGGGACATGTTAAGACGTTAGCGAGAACTGACTACTTGAACAACACTGGTTAATAAGTATGTAACAACTATCACTGTAAGACTGAAATTTTAGTGGACCATTGAGAAGATTTTTTTGAACTAAAACTGTTGTAGCTAAAGAGTTAATGACATGCTAGTGTTAGAAGGATTGGTCCTGTTCATTATTGTCGACAGTAAAATCCCGAGAAATTTTTCAAGGTTTCGTACATTTTCGTTTGTGTTTTTAATTATTGTTTTATCGCGAGTTTATTTGTGATTTCCAGACACAGGCACAAATTTAAAGTTCGCCGATTAATTTACGCTTAGACGAAACCGTTGTGTAGAAATGTCAGGTTGATGTTTTGTAATGATAGGTTATGCTAGCAAATGTGTTGATTTTTGCAATAAAACTGAGTGAACCTTCTTTGTTTGCTTATTGCTGTTTTGTTCATATCACTCTTGCAAAGAAAATGCCTGCATTACGCGTCTGGACGAACTTTCCTACGAAGTACGTCTTGAACAACGCACTAAGAAAGGTAGTCCGTCATAATGCGTATTGAGCCCGTCTTTATACTTGAGACGCAAAAACAGACGAAATACTGTACAAAATGTTTGCCCAAGTTCATCCAGACGGATAATGCATTCTTAGTATAAAAACGGCCATTACCTGTCTTGAGGCGAAACCCGTCTCAGACGGACAATCCGTCTCTAGTGTGAATACGGCCAATGTCGCTCAAGCGTTCATATTTGGCGAATAGTTATACACCGATCCCTTCTAATCGGACAAGCAACTTGTAATCGGCAATGTTAGTAACTTGGCTGAGTTTTGTTTAAGCAACTTAAAATTGTACATTATCACTCTAGCTCATTTACATTTCACATATTCTAATGTTCTCGCTGAAAAAAAAAAGTTTTTAGCACAGCGGCTCTTATAGACTATAGATTATAAGTTATCATATTATAGAAAACAGGTCTTACAAAGGAAAAGACATTCCTTGGCTAAAAAGAAGCGGGGTGCGCTGAAACTCTATTCTATTCCTTCCCTATCAGTTCTAATGGTGATCTTCTGGTGTGTCCCGTTTATACCCGGAGATTCCTTGTGTTTGTTCAACAAAATGAAATTTGATTTTTTTTTTCTGGATTTAATTACTTTGGCCACCATTTTCTGGGGGTCCTCAACAAGTGGAGAGAAATTTTTAAATAAAATTTCTTTCGACTTATTGTGGACCCCAAAATTTCTATTTCACTGCTAGAAAATCTTTAAAGGCGTTGAGGTCGGAGAAACACATAATGACAGGAATTTGCACCATACTCGTTCGTAGCAAGAATAACGAGAATGGTGAGAATTCCTGATATTATTTGTTTCGACATCGGGACCTCAGTGTAGAAAATGTAGCCACATTTCTGTACTAGTTCACAGAGTAAGACAAGTCTGTGAGCACACATTTAGTCACCTCCTCCATGTCATTTGTCTAATTATTTTTACCTCATGCGTTTACTAAAACAGTTTCATGTCATTCATCATCCCAAATAGAGAAAGAACATGGCTAATAATGATTATTAGCAATGTCATTTCTCTATTTGTAACATTAGTTTAATCTCTTCAGGCGGCTAAGCAGTTCCTGGGCTCCGTTTCTCCGCGAATGCGTGATCGTATCTTTCAGTTTCAGCTGCTTTACTGTACGGTGCAATGCTCTGTGAATCGCCAGTCGCTCTTACTAACTCTCTTACATTAGAACTCCCTGCACAAAATGCTGGTCAAATTTTACCTTAAAATGCTACGCTAACGCATTTGTGAAAGTTGACGCACAAATAGAGGAAGACTGCCGACAGACTATCTCCTATCTGAAAGGATATTCCTACCTAAAGCTTTATTGCAAGAAACAGAGTAATCAGAAACTTACGGCGAATACAGTTAGCACTTTAAGAAGATCATATCAATTTTAAGCTGAGTGCCCGGTGATATTAAAGAACTTCTATTCATCAAACTTACTTTGTATTTGTCACTCTCTTTTGGAAACAAATCTTAACAAGGCAAAATATAGCTTCTACGAAAAACTGTCAAGAGTTTTTAGCGTCGTAGGTTCCTGTTTTTAAGAGAAATAAGGCCACCATCTCCAGTACTCCAAACCAGCCATTTTTCAGCTGCAATGAAAACCCTTGTATTTGGTAATTTATTCAGGCTTTGTAGACTTGCCATCACATTCGCACGGGCAGTTGGCTGTTGGGGATAATGAGAAGAATAAGACGATTGCCATATCTGTCTTCATCTTTATTCCCAAGTGGTAAACTTCCCGTGCGAATGTGATGGCAAGTCTAAAAAGCTTGAATAAATTACCAAATG